TTGACTTGATGTTAGAACTAAAAGTTATTTTAAACTATCTCATTTTGAGCAAAATGATAATTCCTCACATAAGTTATCACTGGTTCAAATTCTTTTTTATTGATGAGGCTACTGGCTGTTGTGCATTTGAGGGGAATCGTTAAAACCGGGGCCACTCTTGAATACAACCCCAAAGCTGCTTAAGTTATTAGGTTCTGGGCCAATCTTGTATACTTATGTTTCTCTTCATACATTACTCACATGTGAGTGAATCCCAACACTGGTTAATATCTAAGAAATTACAAGCCCATGATGGAAAAACTTTCTTTCTGGTAAATAGCTTTATGAAAAATAAATGAGGCCTAAAAAGATCAGCTTGAAACAAAAGGTTAGAGCCCTCGGATGTCATTGTATCTAAATGGACGGACAAGACAGTCGGCAAAAGTTTATTGACGAGTTTCAACTTTCAACCTAGCAGGGTTTATGATGGAGAAGCTCTCAACTCCAGAACGTGTGGAATTATCTGACAAACCTTGCAGTGGAGAATTCTCTAAACCAACAAATTGATGAAGGACATTCAGTTGGTGGGACATTGGCTACATTCTTATGGGCCTAGGATTACTCCTAACTCCTAATTAAGCTCATTTGCACTGGGAATTTATTGATGGATGCCGATTGATTAACCTCGTAGCTTAAGTATAACAGGCAACTGCTATGTTTTGATGTTTTCTTCTCAGCTTAATTTCTTTCTGAAAATGAGATTTTTTTTTTAATATTTCTACTTTATTCTGATTTTGTTCTTCTAATTCTTATGGAGCAAAGAAAGGCCCAGCCGCCCAGACCAAACAAAATAGAATCTCGGGCAAGTTTAATTATAACTCAGAAGCTCTACAGAAGGGACTCGGGTGAAAGCGGCGTTTGCGTGCCCAGATTATCTAACCATCCTGAGGATTTAATGTTTTCATTCTAATTCCCAAGTAGCAAAAAAGGCAAACAGAACCACGTACCTAACTAACGAACCGGCAATTTATACAGTCGACAGTTTGCTCGATTCAATGAACACAAACCCAGACTCCGACCTCATTTTTTTGAGACTTTTCTTTCCTTCTTTTTCATAACTGACAACTTTGTGGATGAATTTGGTAGTGTGATAAATTTGCCACTCCATCCACTTACGGAATGCGGATAGAGAGAACAAAGCTATATCGTCCTGCACTCCTGCTCAACGATGAGTGCATATTAGATCTCATTTGGTGGAACTCACAATAATGGCAGAGCTGCTACACCCTGTGTGTGGTGTTACCTTATCATAAATTTCATAGAAGCTTTGGATCTACTTGTGCGTGGAGGAACCGAACAGCTGAAGCATGGGGTATTCTGAGGCCATATTTGTTTGGAATGCAGTTTCATTTGTTTAGTGCAAAAATATGAGATGAAAATGAGTTGAGTACTGCAAGACTTTGGGGTTTTACTTTTTGTTTGCATTGCAGATCAAGTCAAAAGCAAAAATAAATTAAAATTTGCACTCTCATGCATTTGTACTTGCAAATGAAGTTGCACTCTCCAAAGTACAAACAAATAGAGAGAGGTGCTTATAGTGGTGGAAAATGATAGATTGAAGAATGCCCAAGAGTTATTTATCTGATGAAGCATCAAAGTGGAGGGGAACTAACATTTAAGAGGGGTGATTGATAAAGCTCATTTAATTCTTCCAATGTGACCTTGTCTAACACCACTAGTCCCAAACTCAGATAAAGGAAGGTAAAGGAAGGTTGTATTTCTTATGGTTATGAACAAGGTTCAAAGTATTGGAAACACTATGCCTATTGGAAAGGCAAATTTAAGAGATGTATTGGGATACGCCTTGGATATGCATAGATACGGACTAAAAATTAAGATACGCATGGAAACACATGGAAATGCTATAAATACTGTAATAAATCATAAATAAACATCAATATCACTAAATATAAGACATAAATGAG